ACTTATGATCCTATCTACATTTTACTATTTTACATTGTATAGTGGGACAGGTGGGGATTACACTTAAGATGAGCACTGAAATGAATACTGTATAGAATTGTCTGATCAATACAGTGCACACCTGAAACTAATGTAACATTGAATGTCAAACTATACTTCAGTTTTATAATAACCAAGTCAGGCTACTGGCATGTCCTGAAAGTTTTTCCAAGGTATAGAAAAATCAGGTACTTACACCCATAGAGAGTTCCAGCTTGCCACAAAATGTCCTGTAGGAGTAGCACGGTCCTTGTGGGTTCAGAAAGCAAGTCATGGTGGAGGAAAATGTGGACAAGCCAAAGAGAAAACAAGAGGAAGAGTTTACGGTCAGAAGATTCAGGGAGCTGTCTAATCTGTAATGAACTGAAGGCAGAGGTATCCACCATCCAGAACTGAACACTGTCAGAAAATGAACTCATAGAACCTGGGCAAGGAAAAGGAACAGTAGCCAAGCAAATACCCAAATTTCAAGATCTTGATCCAACACCTAAATTCAAGGAATGCTCCCTAAAGAACTGGGGAAGTGATCATGAAGACTGTCATAACCACAGAACGAAGATTCATTCAATAGAACATAAAAGCTGTTGATGTTTAAGAGTTTAAAAGTTTAAAGTTTTTGATGTTTAGAAGTTAAAGAGCCCAGACAGGCAATATTAGTTCAGAAAGGTTTATCGATCACTAACCTAGTTCCACGTAAATACCATCCTCAGTGGACCACAAGTCAATGCTCCATTGGGTATAAGACAGAAAACCCAACTTTACTGTTTTTGACATGAACATCCACTTGGCAGATCCCAAAATTGACATTTTAAATGGAATACTATTTTTTACAGCAAAATCGATAAAATTCATTGAGTTATACCTCAAGTTAATCTGAATAAGGATTAAATTATCCTAAGCAGTAAAAATTGTCACCCACTTGTTCCTAGTTTTACAAAAACAGTTCTAGAGAGCTTTTGAATATCTACTTGCAACAACCAAAGTTACTTATTAGCTTGCTAACTTGACCTGGTTTTATGCTCTCTCCCCCTTTTTCATGCCCAGCATCTGAACCCTCTTCTTTTTTTTTTTTTTTCAACCCTCTTTTTACATGACAAATTTTTCACTAGAAAACAAATGGACATCACCCAGAGATCCCAGACTTGGAAGTGAATGTAATGATCGGAAGCTCTGGGTTATCCTTACATGGGGAAGTCAGCGAGCATGTTTTTTTATTTTAAAAGCGATAGCTGTATTATGTTACATAGGAGGTTCTATATACATATTTAAATCAAAGTATAGGAGGTGAAGAAAATGGTGACTTATGGGTTAGGCAGAAGAGAGGGCTATACTGGAACCCTTCTTTGCTGCTGCTTTGCAAATGAATAAAATTCTACGAATGACGAATTCTCTACCTAATTAGCATGAGTGGAAGATCAAGCCCACCTATCACTACAGACTCCAGGAAATACAAAGGTTAGTACCTCTGATGTCTCAAATGTCCGCATAGCCCGGGTGTCACCAGACCTAGGCACTTGTCTCAGACTTGGAATCAAAAGAAATCAATGTGGAGATAGATTAAGGAAATTAAGAAACTTTGGGAATGTTAAGGAATTCTCATAGGCACTGCAGCATAATTCTGGCAATCATTTCTGTCTATAAATCCCTGAACACGATCTTACTGCTTCTTGCCAATTCTTGGACCCACCTAAGGTCCTTTCAATAACCTCCTTTTTCCAACTCAATTGGCTAGCATTGGCTCACAGGCTTCCCAACCAAGAACCCAGGTTGCTACAATTTGTAAAGAGTAATGTGCTATTTATGGATGTGATCCGTTCTGCAGTGAAACAGTCTGGGTGCAGGTTTTGTCAACCAACTGGAAAAATACGATTTTCCAAGCTAAAGTTCTAAAGGCATTGGTAATTTAACTGGTCTTGTGAAGTGTGATAAGACACACAGAACGGATGCACAAATCCAAATGAAATTTTGATTCCTTGAGCACAAAATCCAAATGAAATTTAAGAATACAAAGGTGTATCTGAAAATAGTATTTCAAAATCTGGATCTCCCCTCTCCTAGCTGAAATCTCTCTAAATATAAAACACATTTATCTTTCCAAGCGTAGAAGTAAGCTGAAACATCAAACCACAAAATGAGGTGGGAGGGGTGCAAAAGCAGTAAAGGCTGATCAGGAGTGTGAGAGGACAGGTAACAACTAGAGTTAACATTGCTATTCGGTATGTTTGAAGGTTGCTAAAGAGTAAATCTTAAGGGTTCTCATCAGCAGGGAAAACAAAAAACCCTATGATTGGGGCACCTGGGTGGCTCAGTGGGTTAAAGCCTCTGCCTTCAGCTCAGGTCATGATTCCAGGGTCCTGGGATCGAGCCCCAGCATGGGGCTCTCTGCCTGCCTCTCTGCCTTGTAATCTGTCAAATAAATAATCTTTTTAAAAAAAACACCCATGATTCTGTATCTCTACGAGTTGATGAATGTTAACTGTGATAATCATTTCACAATATATGTAAATCAAATCATGCTGTATACCCAAAACTTACACAGTGCTGTATGTCAATTATAACCCAGGAACACTGGGGTAAATGAAACATTGGTTCTAGGAGAGTATTTCCTAACATCTAGGTAATTAAAAACATTTTGGTCACTTTTCATTTATTTCTAATTTTACTGGGGTATGGTGAAATAAATTTGGCTTGTAAAACCTCTATAAATTCTTCTATGGCCAAGTACAGCTTTAGACAAAAAGTTTTATGTAAGGGACACGTATATATTTGTATATATACACATACATATGCCATATATATGTCATTAAAATCAAACTACTGATTCTCCTTTTTAACCTTAAATTTTAGGTTCAGAAGTTTAATTACGTATTTTTGGCATGTGACCTAAACTTATTATTGATACAGGAATTTTTGGTGGATTATCTTTAAATTAAAAGAATATTTTTCCTACAAGGGAAATTACTGAGCAAATAATATAAATTCACATTTTTGTTTATCAGTTGACTCTATCTTTTATCAATATACTTGGCAATCCTTAATCCCCACTCGAAAACTGATATAATACTCACGACTTAGTGCACACAAATGACTCACATATTCAAGCTGGCCAGAAACACACACACATGCACACTTACACACATATTTCAAAAATCTTGCAGTTTAAAAAAATTCACTTTCAATGAAATATTTTCAATGTTTACCGAAGAGATTACTTTGCAATGAATCACTTCCCAAACTTGAAATATTCAGAGCCCTCATCCTTCACCCAGTTGGCTTTATACTCATTTGTACAATCATGGCTTCTTGCTCAAAGTAAGATTCAACATGCCTGATGAGAATCATCCTAGCTTGTACTGGTTTTATCTCTAATTTGGGGGGAAAGGAACCTCTTCAGGTCCGGTTGCTAAATTTGGACTTTTTACCATTTTATATCTTCCCCAGAAGCAGAACCCCTGCTGTTCCTCAACATTCATCAACCCACTAAAGAGCTCTCAGGCTGTGTGTTGAGCCAGCTGTCAGCCCTCAACAACTGTTCCTGAGAAATTCAATCACTGCCATGTGTGTTGTACTCTGGTTTAAATCTCAGAGAGGTGGCTCTGCTTAGGGTCATCTCATGGGGACAGAATTTTACGGAGGGCGACCACTACTGGAGGTCACTTTCAATTTCTCATTCTTCCTCCAGAGAATTCATCTCGGTTCTCTGGCCTCCCATTTCAACTCTCAACTTACTTTTTACTAACTCTCTAGGATCAGAGGTTTCAGGCCCATGATAATCCATAGGATTAAAATATATGATTTAGGTGATGCAAACCACATCTTAGAAACCAACAAAGAGCTACAAAATCTTACCTAAAATCATTCTTGCAAGCTCAATTTAGGCGATGAGCACTTAGCATGACAGGGCTCTCTCACTCAGAAGACTCAGACATCAGGAAATATATCCCAGAGGAAAAAAAACCCACAAGACTACATGGGGGAAACCCTTAAAAAGAGAGCTCCTTTATACCGCTTTGGAAATATAAAAATATGCCCTCTACACAACCTGCATATTCTCAATCCCTCATATAGAACCCCTTCTGATCTAAATTTCCAGTTCCCCCTTGCCAGGGGAATATTTTCAACGAGGAAAATCCCTGGGTATCCAAGTCCTAAGGAGTGACCTGCTCAAGCTAATCCAAATGGAAATCTCAGAACCCCGAGAAATCTCTATCAAGCTACCTAGTCTTTCCTAAATGGTCAAAGATGGAAATCTTTGGTTTACTTTTTGTTTCTGACTCCTCATATTACTTACTACAGTAAAACAGCACACACACCAAAAGAGAAGAAAAACCAGGCATAAAGCTAAAAATAAAAAAGATACACCTGGAAACCCTTTCAATTCTGATCCATACACAAGTACCACAATGGTTCTGGAAGTTACTGTTCTATACTCTTGGCCTGCATTTTTTCCCCACTTCATTATCATAGCCATTTTCCTAATATTTATGATATCTTCACATATAATAGAAAGTGCTGAATAAAACAGATTACAAAGTAGCTACTGGGGAAATCATGTCATAAAATGGTACTGATATACTATTTTCCAGCCTAGGTTCCAATACCTATACCAATTTCCCAATCTTCTCAATAACAAACTCACCAGTGTTTGCATTCTCATTTACTCTTTATTGTTAAAGAGTTCTACCTCACTCATAATCACTCCATAGTATGTTGCCCATTTAATGATAATTTCCTCAGGTCAGAGTGCTTTCTTCCAGGAAAAGTGCCAATATTTATTACTTATGTGGCGATGTGTCTTAAAGGCCAAGTTTGATCTTTTTAATATAAAATGTTAAGTAAAATATGATTGTTTTTCTTTCTTCACCAGACCGAACTTCCAGATCTACAATAACAGAAGGCTGATATTTGAAAGGAAGAAAAGAGAAAAAAAAAAAAAAGAAAAAGAAAGAAAGAAAGAAGGAAGGAAGGAGAAAGAAGTTAAGAAAAAGGAAAAAAAAAAAAAGAATATGCTGGCTGAAAGGCTTCCAAACTAGTTACATTCATAGGGTTTCTCCTCAGTATGAGTTGCCTGATGCCTAATAAGTTTAGAACTATTAATGAAAGCTTTCCCACACTGATTACATGTAAAGGGCTTTTCTCCAGTATGAGTTCTTTGATGTACAATAAGTCGAGCACTCAAGCTGAATGTTTTCCCACACTGATTACATTCATAGGGTTTCTCTCCAGTATGAGTTCTTTGATGTTGAGTAAGGCATGAACTCTGCCTGAAGGACTTCCCACACTGATTGCACTCGTAGGGCTTTTCTCCAGTGTGAGTTCTCTGATGTACAACAAGAACATAACTCTGGCTAAAGGACTTCCCACACTGGTTACATTCATAGGGCTTTTCTCCAGTATGAGTTCTCTGATGCATAACCAGGTGAGAACTGCGGTTGAAAGATTTCCCACACTCATTACATTCATAGGGTTTCTCACCAGTATGAGTTCTTTGATGGGCAACAAGCTGAGAGCTCCAGCTGAAGGATTTTCCACACTGATTACATTCAAAGGGTTTTTCTCCTGTGTGAGTTCTCTGATGGGCAACCAGTTTGTAACTTTGACTAAAGGACTTCCCACACTGATTGCACTCATAGGGTTTCTCTCCAGTATGAATTCTTTGATGTGCAATAAGCTTATAGCTCTGGATAAATGATTTCCCACACTGGCTGCATTCATAGGGCTTCTCTCCTGTGTGAGTTCTTTGATGGGCAATAAGTTTGTAGCTCTGCCTGAATGACTTCCCACACTGATTGCATTCATAGGGCTTCTCTCCAGTATGAGTTCTCTGGTGCACCACAAGAACATAGCTCTGGCTAAAAGCTTTCCCACACTGATTACATCTGTAAGGTTTCTCTCCAGTATGAGTTCTCTGGTGAGAAACAAGGTGAGAGCTCCGGCTGAAGGATTTCCCACACTCATTACATTCATAAGGTTTCTCCCCTGTATGAGTTCTCTGATGTGCAACAAGATGAGAGCTCCAGCTGAAGGATTTCCCACACTGATTACATTCAAAGGGTTTCTCTTCAGAATGGTTTCTCAGGTTTTGAGCAAGGGATGAACTCTGGGAGGTTTTACCACAGTTATACTGACTCTCTTCAACAGGTATTCTCTGTTGTTCATTATGGGTTATACTGTGGTTCAAAACTTGCCCACATTCCTTAAAATCTAAGGACCTTCCTCTTGCGTGTATTTTCTGATGTATGTTTAGAGGTACATCATGGCTAAAAGATTGAATACTATCCCTAAATCCATAGGATTTATCTCCTGTTTGAGTTCTTGTAAACTGAGTAAGGTGAATGTTCTGGTCAGGGTTTCCACATTCATTATTGTCACAGTGTTTCTCACTGTCATTAATCTTCTCATGAGTGTTTACAATAGAATTATAATGCAATTTTTTAACATGTGAGGCATGTTTATGAAAATGGCTTCTTATGGGTATCATCTGGGGTGAAAGAAAACTGGAATTCAGACCACTCTTCTCTTCAAGTTCGCTTTTATAGACCTTCTCATAAGTAACTGCTTTCCTGGGAGTAAAGGCTATTTCCTTCAAAGGTCTCTCTTGCCTTTCCTGTTGCTTTTCCAAATGGTCCTTATAATCCTGAACTTCTTCGCACGAAGACAACCAAGGATCATCTCTTGTCAACCTTTCCAACTTTACTCCATGGGATGGTTCTTCATCAAAAATGTTCTGCTTTGAGGTTGATTCTCTTCTTCCAAGTGCCATTGCCAAGTCTAGAAGAAAGCAAAATAAAACATCCTAGCCAAGAATGTCAGAGTTGGAATACTGGGGAAAAAGCTGACAAATATATGAACTATATATGGATTTGTTTTCAGCTATGGACCTATAACCTGGATGAAGAAAACAGAAGGCTGGGATGAAGCAAGAGGCAGAGAAGTACCAGAGCCCAACAGTATAATGATATAAAAATGCAGTTTTTCTGAATAAAAGATTTTAGATACCAAATATCTCTATATTCCAAAATAAGATCACCTGTGCAGAATCTACAGAATAACAAAACAATTTTGCAAGTCTTAGCAAAGAAACCAGCTTCTTTTCTACCCTCTTTAGTGCTACACACGTGCTCAGTGAAATAGAAAACAGTATCTACACTTCTAGGAATTTCTGGAGGCATAGGTCAGTAAGACAATGGCAAACTACTTTGTGAACCAAGAAAAAGAATGAGGGCACTGGTATCCCAGGTTCCCTAAATGCCTTAGCAGCAATTAAGGCCCAATGGATTCCTATGGTTCCAAGTGAGAGAGAATAGAGATTAGCTCAGAAGCAGAAGCCTGTGTGGCTACTAAGTCAAGCACAGAGAGTACACATGGAAAAAGTGGCAATGTATGCAGTCCATAGGAGTGGGAGATGGAGAAATATGTAGCATGCCCTATGGGGATTCTTGAAATTAACCTTCAATACCTGTAATGATTCCTAAGTGTCTGTTTCTCACCTGGATATGTATGTTTGGAAATGTTTATACTCATCCCCTTGCTCCCACAAGGAGATGGCATCTAGTTTGAAAAGCTGATAGGGACCAATATAGAACTTGGGGTGTCTGGGCTGAGGACAAAAGAAAATCATGGCAGAATTTGGTCCCAGTCTTTGGTTTTTAGGAACTATGAGGACTGAACAAGCTCAAACCAAAGAAGCTGTACCTTTGCTACCCCACAAATTAAAATTAAATCTTTGGGGCACCTGGGTGGCTCACTGGGTTAAGCCTCTGCCTTCAGCTCAGGTCATGATCTCAGGGTCCTGGGATCAAACCTCGCATTGGACTCTCTGCTCAGCAGGGAGCCTACTTCTCCCTCTCTGTCTCTCTTTCAAATAAATAAATAAAATCTTTTTAAAAAATTAAATTAAATTAAATCTTCATTGGGGAATAAAAAGCACACACGTAATCTACGTGTGGTCAAAATCGTTCTGACCTCTGAACTGCATAACTCATAATCCACTGGAATCATTTCAATATAAAAACTCATTAATTCTTACCCCAAGAGACCAGGTCCCTGTGTTTCTCTAGGATCATATCTCTGTCCAGGATCCTCTGAGCAGGGTTCAAAGTGCTTTCTTCCTTCTGAGTGAAATCCACAGTCACAATTTTGAAGTTCACTCCTTCCTAAAACAGGACACACATTTCTGCTCAGCTGGGCATCATTTTCTTCCAATGTTCACAAAGAAGGAAAAGTTTGACAAACGAAGAAGGAAAAGTTGACAGCCTGGAAATTGTCCTGACTGTCCAAAGGATTCCAGTCAAGGTGTACAGGTACCTTTTATGTAAGCCTCTGTGGGTTTTGGATGCTGGACCTGTTTATACCTAGTGATCCTGAACTGTGGTTCATGAATAGGACCAAGTCCCTGAATCCCACGGAACTCCACACAAAATGCGGCTGTGCATTTCTATCATTAAGACTCACCACACATTCTGTTCATTTGTATAATGGTCATCTTTGTCACTAGGCTGCAATCCATGAGGGCAGGGACAAGGTAGTGACAGTTTGTAACTGTAACTCAGGTGCCTAGCACAGTGTTGGTGTATAGTAGTTATGGAATATATACACTTGGCAAATGATTTCAAGGAGTAAATCTGGACTATCAACAGGCTTCATAATACATCCAAATAATCTGATTTTTGGTCCAAATTCTGATGTAAGTCCTCTCTCTTACCTGAATCTCACTGGCTTATCACATACCCATCTGAAAAGTCTTAAGTGGATACTGTTTTTTTCTCGACCTTTATCTCCACTTACTCTTACCCTTCTTCTCATCTGCCCCAAACTACCCACCCCTCAAAATTCCTTCCCCCTTCAATTGGGTCCTTGGGCATTCTGCTTCTAAATAACGATATCCTACAGCTTCAACATCATCACCAAATAGTCCCTGTATATTCCCGTGTTAATGGAAACCTACATTTCCTCCAATGGCCCCCTCCTTTGCAAGCACCATGGGCTCATAGTCACTAAGCATCAGAGTGGGAGGGTGTGTGTCCTTCCAGTGACACTGAAACTCATGCTACTTACCTTACTTCTTGACCTTTTTCCTACCAACCCTTAAACACTAAAACCCCCCTCCACTGGAAACACAGAATACCTCGGATTTGTTTTCTATTTCAAGAACTTGTATTGTCTCTTCTTGCACAGTCTCTAGCATCCATTTGTAGAGTTCTCTGACGGTAACGTAAAACTATTTAATTTCTTTAAAGATTTATTTATTTATCTAAGAGCGGAGGGGCAGAGGGAGAGGGAGACAAAATTTTAAGCGGACTCTGCTGAGCGCAAAATCCAACGCAGTGGCTGATCTCACGACCCTGAGATCGGGACCTAAGCCTAAACCAAGAGTCAGATTCTTAGCTGACTGCCCCAACCAAGTGCCCCCAAAACTAACTGACTTTAATAAAGCACTTTCTGTGTGCTTTCAGGCTATGAGCTAAGCATGTTGCCTGAACTATCATTCATTGAATTCTCACAAGGTCCCTGAGAGAAAATCCTCATAGCAGCACCATTTTTTTCAGATGAAAAGCTGGAAGAACAGAGAAATTAACACGTATGTCCGAAGTCAGGGGCTGGGAGGCAGTGTCAACTTTCCCTAACGTGTGTTCTCAGTCACCGACGCCTAGCGCTGCCCAACTTCCAGCCCCTAGAATTGCTCCTCAGCACCCCGCTCTCAGGGTGAGACCCCAGACCTTGAAATCTCCACGAAGTACTCCACCTCCCAAGTCACGCAGACAGAACTCTCTCATTACAACACCCGATCGCTGTCCCTCCCTCTTCTCATTCTTTGACAGTGTGGGGCCATCACTCAACTGAAGTATCTACAGTTAACCATCCACTAGTCTACATGCTTTTCCTTCCCATTTAATGCCCCTTTTATCTTTACCGACTAGAGTAACTGGGTCATTCGTTTTCATCTATTTGATCTATTCAAAAATCCTCTTTCAAACCGTACCTTGCCCTACGGGGCTTTCACGGAATGTTCCTGGCTACAAGAATGAATCTGAACGTCTGTCTATAGTCTACAAAATGTAGGTTCCGGAATGCTGCTGGGAAAGAAGACTCCTGAGAGCAGCGCGACAGAGTACTATGGGTAGTAACTACCTCGGGATGGTCCATTCAGACTGACTGGCAATGCTGTTAACCTCCTGGAGCTGCCTCGCTCTCATAATCCAATGGTACTGCTTTCAGCCTTCTCCACTGCCTCGCAGCTCTCACTCTCTTTAATCTTTAGCATGAGAATGGACCAATTTTTTGTAAAAGTTGTCCACTTGTACCCCTGTTTCCTCCCTTGCTCACCCCCCAGCTCACTTCAACCGGGTCCCTGCCTCCAACTGGCCATGCACATTTCTCAGTGGAGGCTCACTCACCTGGGATGGAAGGGCCAGTGATCCGGCATCTTCTCTCTCGACCTTAACGATAATCTCTTGAGCAAGAGGAGAGTCCTGAGAAAGCAAAACAGATGAGAAAGAGGAAAATAACCAGGAAGCTAAGTCGTGGCTCAAAACTCCCACAGTGAGTAGGCCAGGATGTGAAAAACTACCTGTTTCAACATATCCCACCTACAAGACTTCTGCTCCCTCCCAATGGTACACTCATGCTAGTTCCCACTGGGCAGGAAGCCTGATGCGGGGCTCGATCTGAGGACCCTGCTGGTCACACAGACCCACCCTGGTACCACTTGGATGTGGAGCCCAATGTGGGGCTCAACCCTAGCACCCTTAGATCATGACCTGAGCTAAAGTCAAGAGTCAGACCCTTAACAGACTGAGCCACCATAGGTCCCAATTATCTAAACATTTTTGTTTAGAGGAATAATAGGTCTCTTTCATCAACGCAGAGATTAATGGTAACAATGTTTAGTTAAACCTGTTTAAGTCCACGAAGTTCACCAGAGATGGTCCAAGTGCTAAATGCCTGATCCAAACTCTGTTCCTTCCTGCTCCACCGCTCAAAGTCTCATCATTTAGGCCACCTCTCCCAGGAAGCATTCCCGGACAGCACAGAGTCTCATCTCGTCTTCTCTTAGGATTCCGTAGCTGTTTTTATCGGAGCTTTACTGGAACAGTAAAATCACTCTCCTTCTTTTATTGCTTCCATTTCTACACCTCTCCTCTGGGTCATGAGACTGGTGCTGTAAAGAACTGTATATTTTTCACCTTTGCATTCTCAGTATTGAGTAGGAGCATAATGTGCATCATCTGAAATTGACAGGGTTAGACATATGTGCAGCGCTTGGGGTACAGGAGAGGAATTTAAAGGTTTTTATTTTTTCACTACTATTTATTTACTTTACAACTTTACCGGGGTACGCTTGACAAAAATTATCTGGGTGAGTGATGTGATGTTTTTTAACTATGTGGACACTATGAAATGGGTTTTGGTCTCAGCCCCCGAAGGCAGGCAGGGCCTTCCCCGGCCCAGCTACTTCCCGTGTGTAAGTCACTGACACCTCTCAGCTGATGTCCATCAGGCTGCTCACTGGGCTCATGGCCCTCATTTAGCACCAAGACTTGGGCTCCCCTGATTTCTCTTCCTGCCGGGGCTTTAACTGATATCCATCACACCCAAAGTACTTGTGCATCTTCTGACAATGATTAAAATTTACTAGAGGACATTCAGAGTGGAGAACTGCACTAGGCAGCCTCCAAGATGGCCCCCAAAGGCCCCCACCCTCCAGGAATTCACACCCTATGTAGTCCTTGCCCACACAGTACCAGTGGGTCTGTGTGACCAACAGATTACAGAAAAAGTGATGCTGGGACGCCTGGGGTGCTCAGTCTGTTAAGTGTCTGCCTTCAGCTCAGGTCATGATCTCAGGGTCCTTAGATCGAGCCCCGCATCAGGCTCCCTGCTCAGCAGAGAGCTTGCTTCTCCCTCTGCTCCTCCCCATCCCCACCCCCGCTCATGCTCTCCCTCATATAAATAAATCTTAAAAAAAAAGAAAAAGAAAAAGTGATGCTGTGTCATTTCTGAGATCAGATGATAAAAGACACTGTGGCCTCCATCTTGGCTGTGTGCCATGAAGCGCTCTCTCTTCTCCCTCCTCTCTCAGGTCCTTCGCACCGGGAGAAAGCAGCTGCCGTGCTGTGCGCAGCCCTGGGGAGAGGTCTGTGTGGTGTGAAACCGAGGCCTCTCGTGAACAGCCACGGGAATGAGCGGGCAAGGGGTCCTCCTACCCATGAGCCTTCTGAAGAGAGCGGCTCGGGCCGACAATTTACCACAACCTCGTCAGAGATGCTGATCACCAGGAACATCCAGAGAAGCCGCTCCCGGGCTCCCAACCCCGAGAAACCACATGCGACCATAAATGCTGGTTGTTCTAAGCTGCTGAGTTTCGGGGTATGGAGCCAAAGATGATGAACACAAGAAGGAAGATGTTTCTGCTTTTCCTGCGTAGCCTTGGAATATACAAGAAGTGAATGGATAAAGAAGATGTGGTCCAGATACACAATGGAATATTCCTCAGCCATCAGAAAGGATGGATACCCACCATTTGCATCGACATGGATGGGACTGGAGGGGATTGTGCTGAGTGAAATAAGTCAAGCAGAGAAAGTCAATTATCATATGGTTTCACTTACTTGTGGAGCATAAGGGATAGCATGGAGGACATTAGGAGAAGGAAAGGAAAAGTGAAGGGGGGCGGAGATCGGAGGGGGGAGATGAACCATGAGAGACTGTGGACTCCAGGAATCAAACTGATGGTTTGGGGGAGGGGGGTGGGTGAGGCTGGTGGTGGGTATTAAGGAGGGCACGGATTACAGGGAGCACTGGGTGTGGTGCATAAACAATGAATCACGGAACACTACATCAAAAACTAATGATGGGGCGCCTGGGTGGCTCAGGTGTTAAGCATCTGCCTTTGGCTCAGGTCATGATCCTGGGGTCCTGGGATCAAGTCCCGCATGGGGCTCCCTGCTCAGCCTGCTTCTCCCTCTCCCACTTCCCCTTCTTAAGTTCCCTCTCTTGCTGTGTCTCTCTCTGCCAAGTAAATAAATAAAATCTTAAAAAAACAAACTAATGATGAACTATACGGTGACTAACATCACATAAAAAAAAAAAAAAAAGCTGCACATTTCTGTCTGGGAGCACTAGGTCATCTTTCTCCCCAGCACATCACACGGGGCCTTACACTGGCTAGGCCATCAATGAATATGTGACAAAAGTCAAAAGTATAATGAACAGATCGCTAGTTCAGTTGTATAACAGAGAAAAAATGGCAAATGGACCATGAAGGTTCCCAGAAAATACCCAAAGTCACTACCTTAAAGCAGAATGCCAATGGTCACAATCAAAGCATGCTTTACTTACAGTTTTGACAAAGTGTGAATGTACTTATGTAAATTTAAATGCATAACTCCCTCTCAAACTCTTGCACACGTGTCCAGCCGACCCTTGAAAACCACCAATTTGAATTGCACGGGTCCACTAATATATGGATATTTTTCCCCAATAAATACAGTACAGTACTGTAAATGTATTTTTTCTTCTTTATGATTTTCCTAGTAACATTTGCTTTCTAGCTTACTTTATCATAAGAAAACAGCAGATAACACGTGTAAGATACAAAATGTGTGGGGCGCCTGGGTGGCTCAGTCCGTTGGGCATCTGCCTTTGGCTCAGGTCGTGATCCTGGGGTCCTGGGACTGAGCCCCATGGCGGGCTCTCTGCTCAGCGGGGGAGTCTGCTTCCCCCTCTCCCCTTCCCCCTGCTCATGCTCTCTCCCTCTCTCTCAAATAAATGAAAAAATTTTAAAAACATACAAAATAGGCATTGTTGATGGCTTATGTTATCAGTAATACTTCCGGTCAACAATATGCTCTTAGTAGTTAAGTTTTGGGGGAGTCAAAAGTTACACGTGTAGAAGGAGGGGGGTTGGGAGAAGGGGGGTGGGGTTATGGACATTGGGGAGGGTGTGTGCTATGGTGAGTGCTGTGAAGTGTGTAAACCTGGCGATTCACAGACCTGTACCCCTGGGGATAAAAATACATTATAGGTTTATAAAAAATAAAAATAAATAAATAAATAAATAAATAAAATTTTAAAAAAAAGTTACATGTGGATTTTCAACCATACAGGGGGTCGATTTCCCTAACCCCTGCCTTGTTCAAGAGTCAACTATACAGGGAATCATACACAAAAACACTTACAGTAGTGCTATTTGTAACAGCAAAACATGGAACCCTAAATATCTACTGAATGTAAGTCCACAGATTCCATGGCCAGAGGTGGAAATATGGGCACCAGGCACACATACTGGTATGAGAATGTCACTGCTCCCAGGCCCTGACAGTGGACAGAAATAGGATCCTATGTGTGTATGTCTACACACACACACACACACACAACTCTACATATTTCTACACCTACATCTACTGAAAACCACGAGCCACATCGATACCTACAATCCCCACCGACCACTAAAGTTCATTCCACTGTTCCTCCTGCCCCATCTGATTGCGAGAACCCCGGCTCCCAGGAGTCTCATGACGTTTACTCAGCTGACCATCGCCCCTGTGGGTCACTCCTCTCATCCCCACTGCCACTCCCTCTCCCACACAGATGCTCCTCAGCCCCCCTGGGCTTGGCCAAGAGGCCCTCCTCACCCTCCTCGGGCTCTGACTCTCCAGGCAGGTGGTCTCTTCTCATAGACTCGCTCTCATGCCGTCGGGACTTGGACTCCAGGTGGACGCCCTGGACCTCCGGCCTGGGCTGGGGCTGTCATAGCCCATCCTGGGCTACCCTCCTGCGTTGATAACCTCAACGTGCTTCGGTTGTGATGCACACCAGGAGAGGCCCCCGACCCCGACACAGTGCACATCTCACACCCCATGGGCTGCCCTTTGCACAGACTCACCGCACTTGGGCTGTCCCCTGTGGACGCCCTTCTCACCTGCTCTGGCCTTGTCACCCCAGAGCTGATCCCCCTCCCCCAGACGTCTCTCACCTCACCTCACCTGCGCTCTGACGCCCGGTGCCACCTGCTTCACCGTGTTTGGTCACTGATGCCCCCACACAGGGACACCCTCCTCAGCCTACAGGAGGGAGCGCTCCCTCGCCTGCAGACCCCCACGCAGCCGAGCCCCACCTAACGGCTTCAGGGTTGAACTGTTTAGGAAGGAAGAGGTGAAATGCTAACTGAACATTTTTAAGAAGTTAAATGTCTTCAAGAATATTTGTTGCAGGAAAGTGCTTTAATTGTTGATTTCTTAACCTTAAAATGTGCTGTACAGAAACAGAAAACGCTAGATAAGTAAATGAAAACATAAAGTCACTAGGGATGGAACTTGCACACAAGCTTTGTTAACCTCCTTATTTATATTCTTCTAACACATTTCTTTCATTTTTTGAAAAGATTTTATTTATTTATTTGACATAGAGAGAGAGATCACAAGTAGGCAGGGAAACAGGCAGAGAGAGAGGAGGAAGCAGGCTCCCTGCCAAGCAGAGAGCCCGATGCGGGGCTCAATCCCAGGACCCCAAGATCATGACCTGAGCTGAAGGCAGAGGCTTAACCCACTGAGCCACCCAGGTGCCCCCTAACACATTTTCTATACACACACAAACTACATCCCTTTTAGAAAGAAAAAAAAAGATGACTGATCCCAGGGTCTAGGATCGAGTCCCGCATCAGGCTCCTTGCTCAACAGGGAGCCTGCTTCTCCCTCTCCCTCCACCGCTCCCCCTGCTTGTGCTCTCTCTGTCTCTCATTCTGACAAATAAATAAATAAAATCTTAAAAAAAATTTTTTTTTTAAAGATGATCATTCCTGTCGGCACCTGGGTGGTGCAGTCAGTTAAGCATCTCTCTAACTCTTGGTTTCAGCCTGAGTCACACTTTCATGGTCATAAGATCAAGCCCCGCAGCAGGCTCCACACTTAGCACAGAGTCTGCTTGGGATTCTCTCTCTCCCTCTGCTTCTCCCCCTGCTCACATGTGCTCTCTCTCTCCCTCTCTCTAAATAATCTTTCAAAAAAAAAAAAAGATGATTATTCTTAAACATTATTTACTGAACACAGATCCTACCTATCTTCGTACATCAGGAAATAAGCATTATCGCACCCATCAATGGTCACAGCATTGCCCATTTCATGGTCTTCCCATGACTCTTTGACCCTCCTCCTGCAAGGTCCATTCTTGAACATTTTTTCCTGTTGCTCATTCCCAAGCGAAACTGGAAGCAGCTGGCCACAGGGCAATCAGAACTCGAAGGGCCTTTGATACAGGGTGCCAAATTCCTCCCCGGAAGAATTATCTGGGTTAAAATGGTGAGGAAATGCAGGAAGCCTCTGAAAATGTAGAGTGTATCAAGTCAGGGGAGACCAAAAGCCCCCAAAACACTGCAAAGAGAGCCAGGTCCGCTCCCAAGCCCAGAGTTGCCAGCTCTAAGCTCTGGGTGTCCTCAAGGAAGGGAAGTTACACTCACCTGCACACAGGTCTTCAGGGTCTCTGGGGGCTTCTCATCCCGCTCTTCCATGCTCTTCCAGGCACAGGCAGAGGCCTGAGGGTCCTGAGCTGTAAGGGCAGAAGCCCTGAGAAGAGCATCCTGGCGCCGGTCCACCGTGGTGCCCCCCCCCCAGCACCCCCCCCCACCCAGGATTAGTCTCTGCTTCCAGGATGCATTCCCCATGGCAAGCGTGCATCTAGAGCTTTCTGCCTGAAAAGCTCTGCGTGCACCTAGAGTCCCTCAGTCCCTGTCCTAGGCCAAGACTCTGCACCTGCAACCTAGTACCCCCACTACCATCACAGGGCTCTGGACCCCCTAACTGTAAGTTACGCCCAAACACAGCCTCTGCCCACCACCGAGGTCTGCAGCACACGTCAGTCCCTCCCTGCACCACCGGGTTCTGAGATCCTCACAAAGGCCCAGCACACCGAGGACCACCTAGCATGCGCTCCTCCCCCCTACCATGACCTGAATCTGCAACCCTAAACCAGCTCCCCTTCCTCGGGCAAGGAGCAGGGCTTCTGGGATGGACCATGCAGAATCACCCTCCCTGATTGAATACATGAAGCTGGTTACACAGCCCCACACATCCCAGGATCCGACCCCTCCATTCACCTTGCCTGACCTTCTTGCAACCTGTCATGAATGGCCTCCCACTTCCAGCTGAAACAACCAAGCATATGCACGGAGCTGGGTCACACATAGGGAGGGCCTGGTGCCTCCATCGTTCTGGGCTCCACTGGCCCCTACCAGAACAGCACCAGCAGGATCTCCAGTCCCAAACCCACCTGAGCCTCCAACATGTAGCTCAGATCTAGTCCCTCCACCAACCTGGGTACCTTCAGGCATGAATCAGCAACAGAGCCGACATGGGCCTGGAAGCTTCCTGACACACCCCAGCACGTGCCACCCCTTCCTCGGCCCAGAAAGTGGACCTCATCTGTCTTTGTGCCAGCTCGAGATTTCTGGGTCTGAGACTAGAACAGCCCCTGGCAAATCCCAGCCCACACACCACATTACCAACCCCACTCCATCTCTCCCTCTTATCCACATCCCCTTATTCCCACCAGATTCTCACTCCAACAGTATAGCATGGGTTCACAATGCGGCTGTGTCCTGAACTTGCATACACACCATTTCCTCCACCAACACCCAAAGACCCCTACCTGCCCAGATTCCTGCCCAAATGTCCTTCTGGGCACCTGCGGCTTAGGGAGATCCTGTCTTCCCAGCACCTTGGGTACCACCAGCATGTGATTAGAGCACTTTCTGCACAAAGACCCCAGCACCCTCTAATTCCCACATACAGCCTCCTGTTCCCCGTCCAAAAACCCATGTGTGTGCGCCCGCGCGCTTGCGCACAGGAGACAGGAAGCAGCCCTAATCCTCTGCAGCCCCACATCTCTGGGAGTGGAGGTGCTCTCTCCACTCGCCTGAGCATCTCAGGCAGTACTAGGGTCCTAGGACCACTCATGTCTCCCCATTCTGCCCCCTCCAGGTCCAAATCTGCAGCCCAGACTCTGTTCCTCTACCAACCCAGGCATTCTCATGCCTGTAAGCAGAGTAGCCCCTGAGCAAAGGCCCTGGGAATGCCTACTTCATGATCGTGCTCCCAGCACCCTGCTTTCTTACCAAACAGCTGTCCATGTCAGGTAGCTGCTGCAGCTCCGTCCTTCCCGGGCGCCAATTCTGCACCTCCAACCCAAAGTCTCCACCAAACTTGAATGCCCTACGGCCCTGCGTTACCCTACCTGGGTCCCAGGATTACCAGTCCACATCTCTGCTTCCCATTCGAATATCCCCCAGCACGTGCAGGGAGCGCTCTGACTAGAACGCGCCCCCTCGGCCCTGGTCCCTCCTTCAAACTAGGAGTCTGAAGCCCTTCAGCGATTCTCAGAAGGTTCGCTCAAGTAGCTCTGCCTCTTCTGGAACAAGAATCTGCAACTCAAACCTGGTCTCTTCACTACCCAGGGGGCCCGCTGGGTCCCCAAACCAATCACCCAGAATCTCAACTCCCATCTCATGCTTCCTACTCAAGCGTCTGCTCAAAATACAGGGAGAGCGGCAGAGCCCCTCTCCTCCAAATCTGCTATTGAGTACTCCATCCTCCCGGGCTTCAGTCCTCAGATCCTGCACTAAACCGGCCTGGCACTGGAGGAAGGGAAGGCGGGGTTCTCAGGATCTCCCCACATCCCAACACATGGCCTGTCTTCACCAACCTAGGCATTCTCAGGCCTGGGGCAAGGGCACTACCCGATCAAGAACTCGCGCATGCCCTCCGTCCCGAATCTGTAGCTGCACCCAAGTATCTCCACCTACTTCGGGGACCCGAGGCTAAAGCGCCAGCCGCGACGGTCCCCTGTCGTGCACCCACACTCCCAACCCATGTTCCCGCCCACACCCTGCGCATGCGCGCACGGGACACCCAGCGCCGCCCCGCCCCTCACCGACCTGGGCGTCCACCGGCTCGCAGCCCAAGCCGGGCCTGCCCCAGCTTCAGTGCCCCGCACGGCTCTGCGGCAGAACGAGGTCGGGTTAAGCAACCCCCTGCGCCGATTCTGCACACGACAGCCTCGGCTTAAGTTAGTTCGGCCCCCTCCCCTAGTCGGCATCCGCAGGACCGCTCGGCTGACGCCCGAGCCCAGGTGCGCGGCGACTGCCGCCGCCCGCACTCGGGACAATGGCTGCGTTTCTGGCCGAACCCGGAAGTGCGTTTGGGCTCGGCGAGCCAGGACTACAATTCCCAGAAGCCTCAGCGGCGCCCGCGGCGATTACGCGGGAGTCCAGCTCCTCCCGGAGGTGAGCGTGGGAATTACGGCCCGACGCGCCGGGTTGGGGTTGCTGCCTGGGCAGAGACAGTTTCTGCCGGGCTCCCAGAGGAGGAGCTGGACCGGGAGGCCCAGGCCTAGGCTCCGATGTCGGGGCGGTGGCTGACTTGGAAAGAGCTAGCCTGGCACCGGCTGGACGCCCAGGCAGGAGCAGCCGTGAAAACGGGATCCGATGAAACGGCGGGGTCCTCTCCCGGCTCCCGCTGCTTTGTCACACGCTTGCGCGCAGTCTCCTTTTTGGTCCTCAAGCCCAAAGACCGTGGCTACAGCCCGTTACACAGTCCAGGGAGCTCCTGACAAGTCCTTCAAGAATCTGACATGCTGGTATGTTTTTGTAGTTCATAACACTGAAATAGCAAGAATCCTTTTGTTTTTTATTTTTTTTTAAAGATTTTATTTATTTATTTATTTGACGGAGATCACAAGTAGGCAGAGAGCCAGGCAGAGAGAGAGAGGAGGAAGCAGGCTCCCTGCTGAGCAGAGAGCCCAATGCGGCGCTGGATTCCAGGACCCTGGGAACATGACCTGAGTTGAAGGCAGAGGCTTTAACCCACTGAGCCACCCAGGCATCCCTCCTTTTGTTTTTTAAACTGAGTTCTTTCTCTGCCTCTAAGACTTTAGGGATATGTTCACCATCCCTCTCCTTTGCTTTTTGCCTTATCTCCTGACTATTTTTTCCTCTCACGGTTCCAGCCACGTTGGCCTTTCCACCTTCCCCAGGAACTCCATGAAGCTCCCACCTCAGGACCTTTGCATGTGCTATTCATGCTGGCTGACAGGCTCTTTCTTTTAGGATTCGCCTGGATTCTGCCATCTGGTCTTTAGGCAGATGTCACTTTCTCATGAAGCATTCCCCCATCAACTGCTGTAAACTCACTAACAAACCTTTCACTCCCCACTACTCCCTGCCTCCCTCCTCATCTTTATTCTCTAGAGAACTTTTCACTAACATATGTTGTAGGTATTTATTTGGTTTGTTGTTTATCTGCTTTCACCCCCAGATGCCACCATAAGGGAAAGGATTTGTATCTACTTTGATCAGTGCTGTATCCCCAGCATCCTAAGGTAGGGGGCACATAATAGATGCTCAATAAATGTTAGTTTTGTTTTAAATAAATAAAGGTTCCTGGCCCTTTGTTAAACACATTAACATCTCATTAACTGGCACAATCACCCTATGAGAAAACAGTGGTGTTTATTTCCAACCCACCAGGGAGGAGCTGGCCATTGGTGCCACTGTATGAAAATATGGCATTTAATTTTTTTTTATTGCTATCAAAGTACTCCTCTAGTTTTCTTCACATAACTTCTAACTTTTAACAAATTATTGCTATTTGAAATGTAATCTCCACCCCCCCAAATTCCTTATGACTGGTTATTGTGGATAATTTTTTTTTTAAGATTTCATTTATTTGAGAGACAGGGAGACAGACAGAGAGAACATAAGCAGGGTTGAGGGGCAGAGGGAGAAACAGATTCCCTGCTGAGCAGGGAGCCTGAAGCAGGGCTCGATCCTGGGACTTAAGGATCACGACCTGAACCAAAAGCAGAAGCTTAACTGAGTGAGCCACCGAGGCACCCCTGTGGTTGATTTAAAAAAAAAAAAATTATTTGGGGGTGCCTTGCTGGCTCAGTTGGTACAGCATGCGACTCTTGATCTCGGGTTTGTGGGTTCGACCCCAAGATCATGACCTGAGCTGAAGGCAGATGCTTAACAGACTGAGCCACCCAGGCGTCCCTGAAATATTAAGAATTCTTATAGTATTTCCTTTGATACTCTTGACTTTTCTAGTGAGACGTCATCTACAGATAATTATTTGATCTCTTCCTTGCCAGTATTTTTAACCAGATATTTCTTTGCATTTGGATTATGTTGGCTATCGTTTTCACAACAATATCAATACAAGTAACATTCTTGATTGTGTTCTCTTTTTAATGGGCATGCCTCTAACGTTTGAGGGTTAAATAGGTTGTTTTTTAAATGGAAGTAGGTAACTTATTGTTTTTTTTTTTAACTTTTTGTTACATAAATTTCCAGCAGAAAAGTAGGGAGACTAGTTAAAGGCCACCCCCTTTGGCCTGTCATGCAAATTAATTTTCCACTGGATCTTTTCTCATCTCTAGTCCCACCTATGCTTTCCACTGTCCTCCTCCCCCAGTGATTTTGAAGCAAATCCTACACATTGTTTCATTTTATCTGTAAGGGTTTCAGTATATGTTTGAAAGACAGGGACTGGTTTTGAAAACAAAACTTCAATACAAAATAGATACCCATCATGGGGCACCCGGGTGGCTCATTCGGTTGAGCATATGACTTCTGATTTTGGCTCAGGTCTTGATCTCAGGGTCATGGGATCCAGCCTCACGTCGTGGAGATTCTCTCGCTCCTTCTGCCCCTCCCCACCCACTAGCATGCTCTCTGTCTCTCAAAAACAAAACAAAACAAAACAAAACAGATGTCATAACCACTGGGTACAGAGAATGCAAAATTAATGTGATTGGCAGATATGACTATAAACCTCAAGACCCAAGAGAATGAACTAAAAGAAATGAACATCAAGGAGAGGCTAGAAAGGCATCGAATATGAAACAGATAATGGTAAACATTTATGTACCACTCTGGGCCAGGTACCACTGTAAGGTCCTTAAAAATATTTCTCACTTAGTCCTCCCAGCAATTCATACAAGGTTGGACTGTTACTTCAATTTTACAAGAGATGACATTGAGGCCCAGAAGTGTTAAGTAACTTAGCTGGGATTGTATTGTGAGGGCAGAGTGGGGACTGAGTCCGAGAAGTCTGACGCTAGAGTTCATGCTCTCAGTTCCTACATTATATTGCCCCTTGCTCACCTATCAATATCCTTCTTCTACATAAGCAATACTAAGTTTGCAAACAAGACAGGAAAGTTTGTATTTATTCATAGTAGAAGCAAAAAAAAAAAAAAAGGAAACATAAGAAACCTTCAAAACTCCAATGACAGACATAAAAGACAATCATCATATTACAAGCTGTGTTGTAAAGATGTCAAATCTTGCAGAATGATCTACAGATTCAGTATGTAAATATGACAAAATCATGATGGGATGCTTTGACCATGAACTCATCTTCTTTTTTCTCTATATTTTTCCCACTTTTTAAAATTTAAGATCTTCAGACATTAAGGCATTAGTAATATATAATTTAAAACTAACTTTGTCATTTGTTTGCTCTTTTTTTCTTCTTGTTTCAAAATGAACAAGATGGTTTAAGTTTTACTTCCAGGAGCACTCAAATCCTGACCTAACCTGAATGTTAGGGGGACTTCAGAACAGCTACTACTGAGGAACAGGAACTCATTCTAGGGAGATGCCCATCGAACCCAGAGGTCTCTGTATCAGCTGTTTGGGGATTGGGTAAGACCCGAGTTTCATATTGTGGTTCTGTTGGCCAGGATTTGGGTGAGGGCTCAACACTTCTTGAGAAACAGGGAGATCATGAATCTATCTGCTCTAAATGCTGGAAGATAAAAGCAAGAGTCACTAGAGGGAGAGTATAACCTGTCCCTGGGATACAGGGGGTGGCAGGTTCTTGGCAGTAGGAGGGAAAAAAAAGACAGTCCCTTTCCTTTGCTCAATCCTCTTCTCAAACTATAAACATTGGAGGGACCCAGGGCTTAGTTATCTGCCCCTACTGTTCTCTGTCTTTATCCACTTTTTTGCAATCTGTAGGGGAAAGGGTTAACTCAACAGGCCTGGGGTATCAAACCCAAGAAGGGCCTATTTCCATGACTAGCTCTTGGTCGGCATCTAGGAACTGAACCCTTACAATGTTCTGTCTGATAAAGGGTTTTTGCAGGCCTGAGGCCTTGAGCCACACCGTACAGGCTTGTCCATAGTTTATACGAACAACATCATCTATGGTGAACACTAGCGTTCCTTCTGTAGGGCCTGGAGTTTCAGTGACAGGTCAGTCCTATGGTACATGCCCATGTGACTGACCTATAAAAACCCCGGACACTCAGGTTCAGTGTGAGCTGCCCGGGGTTGGCAACCCATCCCAGGTGTTTTCACACATCATGGCTGGGGGCCTTCCCTGGGGATTCCACTGAGAAAGGAAGCTTGGTTGTGGTGTCCTCCAGACTCCATCCCATGTACCTTTCCCTTTGCTGATTCTACTCTCTCTCTCTTTTTGCTGTAATAAACCATAACCATGAGTATAACAACTTCTGGGTATTGTGAATCCATCTAGCAAATCCTTGAGCCTGAGGCTGGTCTTGGAGAGCCCTGACACAAGATCTCCTACAGCCCCATCAATTTAAACCCCACTGACAAGTCCCAGATGTGTATCTCTCCCACCGTGCTCTCTCTAGACTTCTTAGGAACAACTGCCTGTTTTATCCTCCAGCTAATCTATTTTTGACATGCCTAAAGCAAATTCTTGACTTTCCTTGTCTATCCCAAATGTGCTCCTCCCTCAGTGTTGCCTCAGAAAGTGGCCTGCCAGTCATTCAGGTGCTCCTGGGGAGTTGTCCTTGACTCCTCACTGTTTTCACCAAATCGGACTCTCACCACCTCTGCCCCCAGATCCCTTGGGATTCTAAGCATCTCGCATCTGCTCCTCCCTTGGGTGAGTCAGTCTTTTGTGTCATTCTCGTTTTTTCTTGTCATCATCTCTTAGTCTCTCCTTGTTTCTCATCTGCTGCCATGATTTGAAAAGTCTGCTCCCTGTGTACATCCCTGCTCTTCTCTGGCTGGCTCACAACCCCCGCACCTGGCTGCTGTGTCCACCACCAGTGTTTGCCCATCCTTGCGGCTTCCCCAGCTGCTGGGTCTCGAACCTCAGC